TACTTTATAAATACCGTTGGAACAATGGGATAGCCATTTAGAAAATAAATAAAATTGGACCTTGTGACAGAGTATCAATTACTCCTCAATATCCATTCTCCCCTTCTTCCTCTGTCACAGAATCCCTCATTGTTAGCTGGGTACATGGCTTCGTGTCCTTGCCTCCCTTACAGTTCACTGTGGCCAAGAGATTTAAGTACCAGCAAACACAATGCATGCAGAATTAATACACAGCATCCAAGAAGTATCCTTAAAGGGAAAGGATATGCCTTTTTAAATTTCTTCTTCCTTCCTGATGGCTGGAATCCATACATTTTGGCTGGAGAGCCAATAGTCATCCTGGACCATAAAGTAACCTTGGAAATGGAAGTTTCTCAGAGTGAAACAATGAGATGGAGAGAGAGCAGGAATCCCTCATTGTGGAATGTTATACAAGTTCTGGAAAAAGATAAAATCCTCAGTTTTATTCAATACTTCGTGACTTTATGTTTAATTATTATTCTTAGCTGAATGTAGTTCTAACCAATAGTTCCTTCTGTCCCAGTATCAAATCTTACACCAAAATAAATCCCAAAAGTCTTAAAAATGTAAATGTTAAAAACAAAATAAAAACTATAAAATTATGAAGAGAAAACATGAGAGAATTCTTTTTATAATTTTGAAGTAAGAAGGCCTTTCTAAATACAACATGAGACCTAGACAACATAAAATGAAAGGTTGATAAATTCAGCTACATAAAAACTCCACATGAAAACAAAAACACTGTAACAAGGTTAAAAGAAAACAACAAACTGAGTAAAATATTTGTGCCATATTTTGCATTAGACTAAGGCTAAATGCCACTAACTTTATTCGGTTATTGTGTGTCAACAAGACCAAACAATAGCTCAAGAGAAAAGCTGGCAATGATTATGAGCAGTTTATAGAAAAGGAAATGTGAAAAAAGACTTCTGACCTCCAGGACTATCACATAATAAATTTGTGTTGTTTTAAGCCACTTTAAAGAAAAAAGCAAATGTGAATAACATGACAAGGTCTTGCTTATTTACTCATAATAAGAGAAAGACAAATTAAAGCTACTGAGAGTTAGCATTTTCTACCTGTTAGACTGACAAAAATCAAAAACTTTGATAATGTATTCTTTGGGCAAAGTTATGAGAAAACAAATACTTATGTACTACTAAATGTAAATTGGTACAACTTATATTGAGAGCAATTTGACAACATATATAAAAAGTACAAGTGCATATAACCTTTGACCCAGAAATTCCACTTCCAGAAATTTATCCTACAATACCTATGAAAATTTGCAAATGATGCATGCACAAGGATATACATCACTGCACATCCTTATTTGGAAAGATTGGAAAGGATCTAACTGTCCATCAATAGGAACTAGTTAAATAAAATACAGTATAGTTATATACTAGAATCCCATGCAACTGTTAAAAGGAGCTTTCTAAGTACCGATATGGATCAAAAAGAGGTACATTGTTAAGTGAAGGAGTGTAGAAGAACATGTGTATCATAATTCCTTTTGTGTTTGCAAAAGCAGAGAAAATATATATCTGTTTGCTTATGTAATGAATATCTTTTGAAGCCTGCATAAGAAACTCAAGAGAAACTTAACTTTTAGTATTCACAACCCTGTGCTGTTCTGATTTTCATGAGTCTAAGCTCTCACTGACTTTCTACCTGGCACATTTACTGTACTGTTAGCTCTGGAGAACAGACTGTAAAGTTTGCAAATTTCTTGGGCAAATTTTCATGTTGTGGCACTTGCTCTCTTTTCACACATGCACACACACACACACACACACACACACAGGTTCACACTCTTCTCAATTTTACTGTTGTCAGGCTGCTCACTTCTTCTCATAGCAGCTGCTCCTCCCACCTGCTCCCCCAAAGCTTAACATAAAGCCTCCATCTGATGCACAGAAAGGATAGCGACCAAGATAAGAGTAAATTTCTGAGGAAGGTTCTATTCTCAACTGAGGCAGAGGGTGTTGAAAGAGCTTAGAAACTAGGTAGCAGGCAGATAATATGATTTCACTTCAGACACGAAAATAGAAACACTCTGACATCAATCGGAAAATAAAGGAAATTCTGATCTTTGGGAAGGATTTTTCCTTTTGGATAAAGTTCAAAATCCCCAATCTGATAATGAAGGGCATTTAGTGATGAAGACTTTAGTTTCCTCTAAGAAAGCCGTAGAATCCCTGATAGGAATTGTTCCCTTAATTTTAGTGTCTTGGTTTCCAACTAGTGGTGAGGTTTAATAAGGTCTTCTTAGGCATATTTCTCATCACATGAATTGATTCGAAGAATTTCAGTACTCTGAGTTCCTTGGAGAGTAACCTGAATGTAGATGTTTTTTCCTATAGAAACTGTCAAAAGTTGCTCATAATGAAGTAGATTTGTTAACACTTCCAATTAGAGTGTGAATCAAAAAACTAACCCATGTGTTTTTCAAAAATTTTGTTTAATTAAGATGAACTACTAATATAAAATCATACTAACATCTGGGTTTTTGTTGTTTCTTTTATGGAAGTTTAGCTTATTTTTGTTCAATTAAATTATTTTTTATTTTAGTTGGAACTATCTAAAGTAGGAATTTAACACGGTCAAGTCTGTGACAATGACAAAAGCCATTGCTAAGAAGGAAAGCTGCAGGAGTTGGGAGAATTCAGGTCAACAGCAAAAACCAGAGACAAAATCTGTGAAGGAGAATCAGGTTGACACAAAAGAGAGAAATCTTCTACAGAGCAGATGCCTAGGGCTCAGCCAAATGAAGATACTAATATGAAAAGAATGATATTAAGAGACAAAAATGAATATAAACAGAAAGGTTTTGATTTAAGCACAGCACTGCCAAGTGGAGGAAAAGGGAGCTACAATCGTACATCCCTGACTCCTGGAAGTTTCATTCATACATTCTTTATACAAAACACTATGCTGTTTACTGGGGTAAACAGAACAAACACAGTCTTTAACCACATGGACCTTATGTTATAGCAGGGGCCAAGGATGGCAGATCAAATAAATAAGTAATCTGATTAGGAAATAAGCAAATACAATATTTAAAATTATGAGAGTACCATAATGGAAACATGCAGAATGCTGAGAGTGGAGCAAGGAGAGAGGACTGATTTTGAAAAGAATGGTCAAGGAAGGCTGGGAAGGGGCCAGCCATGAGAAAAGCAGAGAAAGAGGAAAACTAAACCTAGTCAAAGTACTGCAAGAAAACCCATGTGTCTGCAAACTGTGCTCCTCCCGTAGCTACCAATTCCCCATCAGGGCTTATCCCATAGCTGACGACCATCTCGATATCAACGCTTTCTGTAGTGTCTAAATTATTCCTCCTCTTTCATTTCTCTTTAAGAAATACTGTCTAAATCATAGTCCCTAGCTAGTGAGAAATAGAAAGGAAATTTTCTTCAAAAGTTGTTTTTTATTGTTTTGTTTTAGTATAATGATCTACATCAAATACAAAAAAACACTGGGAAGTTGTTTGATCAAAGAGTATGTATATGTATCTACAAAAGCCCACCCACCTAAAAGCGAATCATTGGCCCTTGTTCACAAGGTTACCATGGCATCCATCTTTTCACTGTGCTGCAGCTCACTTCCACCTCTAGCTGTGTTGGCCCCACTAGGTCTCAGTGGGGAAAAGCCTCTTCAGAGAGCCACAGCTAGAAAGAGTCAGTAGGCACACTAGGTCTGATGAGAGAACAAAATAAACAAGATTAAATTAATCATGCAGTCTGAAATCAATTCTCCCCTTGTATTTGTAAAGAAGTTTGAATCTTGATCCACCAGCCAGGAATACAAAAAGCGTCACATTTCTTTATTTCCTTTCTATGAACCTAAATAAAATTCAATCTCCATCACACCAGGTGGTGGGAAATTCGATTTTAATCATCATGGAGTTTTGGTTCTTCCTACTCAGTGCAACCTCCAGCTCAAGGTCATGCAAAGGTCTCCTGGTGTCATTCAGGAAGGTCAAAAATGACATTTTCTGAAGGCTCCAGAACCAGACCACCTAGATTTGTATCCTGGTCCTGCCATTTACTAGTGTGAAACATTGGGTAACTTACGTAACCTTTCTGATGATTAATAATAGTAACTACCTTATAGAGTTTTCAGACAGTTAGATGAGTTAATATATACAAGCTTCTTAGAGTAATATCTGGCACTTAAGTGTGCAGAAAATATCTTTCACCACCACCATCATCATTATCATCATCATCATTTTCACATGATGTGAAAGTATCTGGTAATTTTCTCCGGTGGCTGGTCCACACTGGTTATCAGATATGTCCAGTTTCCCAACCCAAAGGATTTCCTCATATCCCAAGCCCCTGCTGCATCTGGCTGGAAGTTCCCAGTCCAGGACAACACCTTGGGATGAGCCCACTATTCTCCAGGAATCTCTTGGCAAGTATCTCTCCATCTTCCTACTGAGGACCTCTGGAAGCCTCTCCTCCCTCTCAGAACACCTAGAAAAATGTCTTCAGTTAAGTTTAGTCCTAACAACAAAACTCAACTTCAGAAACTTCAAGCAACTTTTGCTCATTGAAAAAAAGACTGGCTACCTGCTTGGGGAAGGCAATACTACAGAGAGTACAAACACAAATCTTTATTTTCCTGCCACACTAATTCTGTCATCTTTGCTTAGACCGACACACACTCCAAAAGCCTGCAACCTGTGTGCATCTGACAACAGCTTCACAGGTGGAAACGTACCTGTTTTCAGTACTAGCTAATTGGTCAGGCCTGATTCAGGTGGTGCTCCAGGATAAAAGAGCTAAAGGACCGTGAAATATCAAATACAGGAGCCCTATGGGGTCTCGTTCTTAGAGAGTTTGGGGAGCCCCAGATGATTGGACAGTGTGATTTGCAACCTCCACTTGAATGTGGGGGCCACCAGAGTTTGGAGATTCACCCACTTGCAAAACAAATCCAAACCACCAGGGAACAGGACAGAGACATAAGCGACGGAGCCCTTGGCAGAAGAACGGTAACAGCAATGAGCTGAGGTTGGGGGATCAGTTAAAGGAGAGGAGAAATAAGTACTGAGTTGCAGGCTAGTTGCCAGAGACGACAGGCATGCGGGAAGCATTTGGGGAGCGGAACCAAGGAGCGAGGCCGCGTGCACGGGGAGCAGGATAAGCCGCAGCACTGAGAGGGGAGGAGGAGACACCAACACCCAATAACGCGGGGACGCTAGATCCATCCGCCATAGAAGCTTGACACTTCAACTTCTGGTATTACATTATCTTTTGTTGACACTCAACACTAGGAATTCTCTCTTATTTCCCCCCCCCCATATGATTATGTCTAGCTTCGTTTCTAATAGCTCTGTCAGTGTTGCTTTCCAGACTCAGGCTTCCCCAACCTGTTTGGGGAAGACGAAGGAGAAGAGGGAAGAGAAAACTTAATTGTGAAGTAATAGAATCACTGCCCTTTTCCACAGATTTTGGTCACTTGGGTATTATTGCTCCCAGTACTTCTCTGAGCCCGGGAAGAGTTCCAGCTGGAGAGGGACCTGAAGTCGGAAGAGAGGGGTCGCCTCTCCTTTCCGCCTTCTCGTCTCCTCGATGTTCCCCATTCCAGGCTCCTCTACCACTAATGACTCATAAAGGCTTGAGGGTTTGGTGGCGGAGTGGGCAGAAGTCCACTTCTCTGAGACCCTCTGCATTTGTTGAGACAGAAGGGACTGGTCTTTTTTCTAAATGGAATTTGTAAGATGTGACTTTATACAGCCAGGGTGTCCTTGAGGAAGTTCTCACGGCACCTTGGCTCAAGAGTTTGTGAACCCTGTCTTACACCCCTTCCAGGCACTCCATCGCCTCTTTTTGGATGGAAAGCAACCTCTTGCTCCACTGAGGTGGCTTTCCAGGAAAGCCAGCCAATGCCTTTCTTTTAACTGACCGTCAAAGTTTCCAAAATAAGCATCACAGGAAATTTTCTTGTCCTTCCATAGCCAGGTGGAGCAGGATGCTCAATGCCGTCTCACCATGTGCGGGCACAGCTCACCACAGCACACAGCTGCCTATGGAGCAGAGGAGGCTAACTCTGTGTTACGTCCCACACAAAGGCAGGTAAAGACTCACAGATGGGAGCCCCACACGGGCCAGGAGATCCTGATTATTGGATGAGGGGGGACCAAGTCTTCTCTGTATTTCTTATAGCAGTAATTGAGACTCACTTGGAAACCTGAAAAGTAGTTCCAGCTTCTGGACATATTGAAAGTGGACTCTAGTTTTACTATTTATGTTTGCTCTTTCTTACCTTGGGGAGGTTACTTAACCTCTGTTAAGTCTCAGTTTCCTCATATATAAAATTTAGCATAATCATAGGACCTATCTCACAGGGCTGGTATGAGGATTTAGTGATATTATGTGTACATATCTTGCAACAAAATGCCTAGTACAGAGTAAGCACTCGAAAAATACTTGTTCTGTCCCTTCACTTTTCTTTTTCTATAATAGAAATATTACCATCTTCCATTCTTTCTAACTTAAAAGTCTCATTATACAAATTATTCCTTTGAGTTTAGGCAAAGGTATAGTCTTGAGAAAACAATAATTAAATGTCCTTTAATTACTGGGAAAGGAAAGAGGGTTGGAGTTTTAACCTTTTCTCGAGAACATATTAGCCTGAATTTGGTGTTATTAAACAAATGATGTGTCTACTATTTATCTTATTAGCCAATTTTGAGGAACTAGAAAGAATGGCCTAGGGAGAATGGAGCTTCAGATCTGTACATTTACATAGTTTGATGAAGATAAGGAAAAATCATGAAATGCCTGGAGCTTAACAGTTGCACAGGGAGAACAGGCCTGACATAGAAATAAGGGAAGGTCCAGGGGCCTCTAACCAAGGGACAAGTATCAGGTGACAACAGGGAGAAAATGACATGGTTTTCAGAATTCAGATTCTGCCAAGAATCAGCCCTGCATGAGAAAATAAAACAACACAGTTTTTCAGTTGTGTTGGCAAGTGGGTATTTTAATCCACTTTGCTCAAATATGTCAATAAAAATTTGCAAGCAATACTTCTTGTCTTCTGAAAATTAACTATATTCTCTTTCAATGATAGGATTTCTCTAAGACTAAATAATTCAATTCAATTCAACCAGCATCTATCATGCTCCTATTATGTGTCTTCACCCTACAAGTCTCTAAAGTGACAGGGAATCAATCTTGTCTCCACTAGAAGCCAGCTCTAAAAGGCCTACTCTAAAAGACAAAACAAAGGTTCAGGAGCAATGTGCTATTCACACAACTCTACCAATATTTACACAGAAATTATTGTTTCTGTTCCACTTATAGTTGGATTGAGACTGTCATATTGATGACAGGGAAAATAAGTTCTAGTGATTAGCACAGAGTATTTTAAATACGTATTCTTTGTTCTCTTACACTGCTCACGGCCAAGAGCATTCTCTGGGTAACTGATATCTTTATCAGAAGATGCTGAAGCCTATAATGCTCTTCAAAAGAAAAGTCAACGCTGGGCTAATCCAAGCCCAACAGGCTGAAAGGCTGTGGAAGATACCAAAATTTAAGATACATAGAGAACTGAAGATAAGCAGGCATTACATGAAAGACTTAAGAACTTGTAACTGGTGATCTGTGTGATAACAAGTGCAGAGGGAAACCTGGGGTCGTGTTGGTGATGATGGCATTCCCAATGTGGGGGGCAGCATACATGCCCGCAGATAGAAATGAGCATAGATTTTTGGAGACACACGTCTTTTAAAAAAAAGTTCCTAGAAACTAATTCACTCCACCAGTCCACCTCAAACTTTGACATTTTGATCTCTGGTATATACTTTGTTGCCACTTAACTCTAGTATTGTTCAATTCTTTTTTTTATATATGGTTGAATCTAACCTATATAAAGTTAATGATGTGTGTTTGTCTCTTACTTTTTGTGTATACTTCTCCCAGTGTAGTGGCTTGCAGATAACAGGCACTCAGTAAAATAGGTTGGATTGATGGTGGGTGCCCAATTACTGGAAGATGAATTATCAACTGCTTACATTTACTTGGCCCTTTGTTGTTTTCATTCCATCTACTTTACTTCTCACCTATTGATCCGAAATCCATATTACTAGACTTTAAATCATAGGTTTTCAGTCTTTATTGCATCAGAGATCTCCTGAAATCTTGGCCCCTGTTTCCATCCCCAGAGATTTTGATCGTTGGCCTCCATAATCATGTGAGAGCCAATTTTTATAATCAATTTCTTTCTAGATATATAGATATCTAGATTTTATATATATGCCTATCTCCTATTGGTTCTGCTTCTCTGGAGAACCCTAACTAATACACCTAGATTATTGATTTGAGATCTTTCCTATTCTCTAATGTAAGCACTGAGCCCTCTCATCTCTGCTTTAGCTGCATCCCACAAATTTTGATATGTTGTACTTTAATTTTTATTCAATTTTATATTTTTTTAAATTTCCTTTCAGATTTCCTCTTTGACTCATAGATTATTTAGAAGTATGTTGATTAATTTCTATCTGCTTGGAGATTTTTCTGTTGTCTTTTATTCAGTAATTTCTAGCTTCATTTCATTTGATCAGAAAGCATACTTTGTGTGATTTCAGTTCTTTAAATTGCTTAATGTTTGTTTTATGACCCAGGATGTGGTGATCTATCTTGGTGAATGTTCCATGATGCTTGAGAAGAATGTGTATTCCGTTTCTGTTGGTTGGAATGTTTTATAAATGTCAATTAGATTCTATCATTTGATGGTGTTGTTCAGTTGTATATCGTTGCTAATATCCTGTCTAGTAGTTCTGTCTGTTGCTGAGAGTGAGGTATTGATGTTCCCAACAAAATCATCTGGAATTTTAACAACCTCCCTAGGTGATTCTAACATGCACTAAAGTGTGAGAACCACCAGCTTAGAGCAGAGTAACTCAACCAAGTTAGTTGAGTTGGATAAAACTTTTTTGTGGGCTTTAAATTAAAATTTTTCTTCTGTGAACTTGATACTATTTCCAGTGAGTACAGAAAATTATTCCAAGTTAGGAAGGTAGGACTACAAGGAAAGCTCTCACCCTAATTGTTTCCCCATATGTCACCAAAATCATCATTATTTTAATTATTTGCCCCACAACTGCCTCCCATGGAGGTTTACCTCAAGCAGCACTGCACATGGAAAAGTACCCAGAAAGGTTTGGAGCTTTAACTAAACCCAAGTTTTAAATTTAAAGCCAAATATTAAACTCAAATGGAGCCGGGCGTGGTGGCTCACACCTGTAATCCTAGCACTCTGGGAGGCTGAGGCGGGCGGATTGCTCGAGGTCAGGAGTTCAAAACCAGCCTGAGCAAGAGCGAGACCCCGTCTCTACTATAAATAGAAAGAAATTAATTGGCCAACTAATATATATATAAAATTAGCCAGGCATGGTGGCGCATGCCTGTAGTCCCAGCTACTCGGGAGGCTGAGACAGCAGGATTGCTTGAGCCCAGGAGTTTGAGGTTGCTGTGAGCTAGGCTGACGCCACGGCACTCACTCTAGCCTGGGCAACAAGCGAGACTCTGTCTCAAAAAAAAAAAAAAAAAAAAACTCAAATGGAAACTCACTTAAAGCCTTAATCCATCATTTCTGAGACTGGTTAGTTTATTTACATATGCATTCAATCAATGAATATTTATTGGTCTCCTTTCATGATCAAAGAACTGTACCAGGTACTAGAATAGAGCAGAAAACAAGATGTGGAATGTTCACTCTATATGCAAATAATTATTATAATTATAAGTGTATTATAATAAGTACTATCAAAAAGATGAACAGGATGCCAAAATAGCATATCGCAGTAAGCCTAGCCTGGTCCAAGGGGATCAGGGAAAGTTTTCCTGATTAATTGAAAGGTAATCTGAGACTTAAAGGATGAGTCAGACGGCCTAAAGATAAGGAAGAAAATGAGATTAAAAACCAAGCAAACTGTATTTGCCAAGAGCTAAAAAAAATTGTTTGACCTTTATACTGGGAGTGGATATTAAACATGCCCTAGCAAAAAAGTCCAGGGTGACGGTGGGAAGTAAAGGAAGTACTTGTCTACCTAAAGTGGTCTATGTGGAGATCACAGCTCCAGCCAGCTCAAGTTCATCTCACCAAGCCCGTGAGACTAAGCACCTGTAAAATCATAATAGGTTCGTTTGCCAAACCCAACTATGTTCTGGGAACAGTACCAGGAACCTTCTGAATGTTCACTTCTGTAATTTCCTGAGTCTGCATCAACACAGTTTGGCTTGAAATGAAACCCATGGAGGAGTCATATTTAAAAGGTAAATGGGAAAATAATCAAATTCTGCATTTGGAAACCTTTATTCTTTAAAACCTGGGCATTGGGGGAGGATAAGAAAGTAACCCAGAGATAAGAAAGAAAGTTAACATTTTTCAAATGCTTTCTGTATGCAAGGCACTAGACTGCAAGTTTTGCATATGTTATCTGTGTTATCTCTTCTAATCATCACAATACCCAGGGAAATGGGCATTATTTTTCTCATTTTAAAATATGGAAAGCAAGACTTTGGACAAAGTAAAGTAACTTTCTCAAGGTAAAAGCTAGTACATGGCCAAGTCAAGAGTTGAACCCAGGGTCTGTGTGAAAATGAGCTGGGCAGATTTCTGCTTGGGGCTGCTATCCTGGGAGCTATGTTCCATCCCAAGAACTCAAGTTTCTTTTTGCCTTTCACCTTCATTGTTTCTTTTCTTTCTGCCCTCCTAGTCAGCCCCTGGGTTTATTCTAACCCTTTAGCTGGCATCTGCCCCTCTCTGACTCTCCCTCTTACATCTGCCAAAACTCCTTCTGGAATGCTCAATAACCACAGCAGTATTTTCTCCCCCAGAGACTGAACGTCTATGGTATAAGTATAATGTTGGGAATTCATAATGTCAGCCATATCACTCTAAGAAAGTTCAAAACCACTATTTTACCTACTTCCTTTATCACAGTAATATAGACAGAATCTTAGGACTCAACAGTCTAAAGGAAACATTTTTAGCTCTGCTACTGATATATTACTCTGTTTCAAGATCTTATTACTATGGTATTGACATGATTTTATTTGGATTC